TTTTATGCATTCGAGCTAGACATAACTCTTTATCCTTCAAGGTCCCCAACTTAGAGCTTCCTTGAATTCCATCATCTTGATTGCATGCTCCAAGTGTGTACCATCCTTCTTCTTTTTTTTGGCTTGATAGTGGATCATGAAGTAGCAGCCACCTTAGTCTCCACAGGGACTAGATAGTGTGACAACACCCCTTATGTTGTTATTGTAACAACACTAGTCTCCAACCAATAGGAAGCTAGAATTGTGATGACATTTTATTAGCTTAGTTGACCTAGTGTAAAATGAAAAAAGGGGTATAATTGTCATTTATGAAAATATGCTTAAATAATAATAAAAAATAAAAATTAATTTTTTATTTTCTGCCCTAAAATTTGTTCGCCGGAATTCTGTCACACGTTCGCCGGAAACTGGTCGCCGGCCACTGGAATATGCTTTTCATCGCCGGAATATGCTATTTTTTGTCGGAATATGCTCACCGTGGTCGCAATATGCTTACCGGCGTCGGAATCTAGTCATCGGGGCGGGAATATGCCTATCGGCGCCGGAATCCGGTCACTGACGGTCATCGGAGTTCGGTCAAAGGTTTTCGTTGACCGGTCAACGATCGTCGGATGTTATGGTTAGCATTGTGAGATTTATGGTTTGGTTTCTCATATTTTTTTATGCCTTTTGTGGTTTGCTTTATCGTGTTTCTGGTTTGCATTGAGAAGCTTCTAGTTTGCTTTCAAAAACTTTGTGGTTTGCATTGAGGGGTTCTAGTTTGTTTTAATATATTTGTGGTCTGCATTAGGACTTTTATGATTTATTTATTTTTTTGTGGTTTGATTTACTGTGTTTGTGGTTTGCATTAGGAGGTTTTTGGTGTTCTTCGCAAATGTTGTGGTTTGCTTTGTGAGGTTTGTGGTTTGTTTTAGGAGATTTGTGGTATGCATTAGGAGGTTTCTGGTTTGGTTTATTGTGTGTCTGGTGTGCTTTCAGAATAGTTGTAGTATGCTTTGTGAGGTTTCTGGTTTGCTTTATTGTGTTTCTGGGTTGCATCAAGAAGTTTATGGTGTGCTTTTGAAAATTTTATGGTTTGATTTGTGGGGTTTCTGGTTTGTTTTAATGAATTTGTGGTCTGCACTAGGAGGTTTTTGGTTTGCTTTACGGTCTCACAGTAGAGTAGAGATCATGAATCGATCTCACACACATGAAGATGGCTAGCTAGCACTGCATGGCCGTACACACATACATCGATCTCACACACATGACACATACATGCATAAACTGATAAATGTAAACATAAATATATATATATATTGTTTGCGTCAATTATATGGAGTGGCTAGCTGGAGTGGAGATGGCGTGATGGCATGACATCAAATCAAATCACATGAGCAAGCTCCTGATAATGGCGGCCTCGGGACTGTCGGAGTCGATGGTGGAGAGCAGCTCCGACAGCCGGTCGCTCAAATCCTCCACTTCTCTTCTCTTCCTTTCCTTTCCTTTCCTTTACTTTCAGTTTCCGTTATTATGTCGTCTAGCTTAGCTTCCTTCTCCTTTTTGTTCGTTTTCGGATTAATTCCCTAAATACAGATAAAACTAAAACAAATTCCTAAACTACCACACTTTTAAAAAAAATTCCCAAAATACCTAAGTTTGGAGTGGTTCGAGTTTGAGGAACTCGAACTACTAACCGGTTCGAGTTTAGGAGCCTCGATCTAGTCATAGATCGATGATATAAGCCTCGAACCATGTGGAGCTGAAGTGGTTCGAGTTCAGTGAACTCGAACCACTCCTTTGAAATTTTCAACAACCTTAACTTTCTGCTCGGTTATCCGATCGTAGCAAACTTTTTTTTCATTTCGCATAACTTTTCGAGGACTACAACTTTTATAATATAAATATTTTCAGAATATATGTGAAAATGTGAAAAATAAAGTAAAATGTACTCCCAAACCACCTTATATTAAAAACTATTCCTATTTTGAAAATTTATTCCTAGTAAATGTTGTAGTACTCAAAAAATTATGCAAAACAAAAAAAAAACTTTGCGACGTTCGGATTGCGGAGCACAAAGTTATGATCCTCCAAAGTTTGATAAATTTGAAAATTTGCTCGTTTATGGGTAGCAAATGACGTTTTCTAGGAAGATAGCCATCCAAAAATTTCTCGTTTAGAAAAATATTGCTCTTTCGGCAGAAATTCCCTATATATAAAAAAAATTCCCATGCCTTCGCCCTGAGAAAATGTCATTTGTTACCCCTAAACGATCAATTTTTCGATTTTGCCAAACTTCATAGGATCATAACTTTGTGCTCCGCAATCTGAATGTTGCAAATTTTTTTTTTATTTTGCATAATTTTTTGATTACTACAACATTTACTAGGAATAAATTTTCAAAATAGGAACAGTTTTTAATATAAGGTGGTTTTGGAGTAAATTTAACTTTATTTTTCACATTTTCACATGTATTCTCAAAATATTTCTATTATAAAAGTTGTAGTCCTCGAAAAGTTATGCGAAATGAAAAAAAAGTTTGCTACGATCGGATAACCGAGCACAAAGTTAAGGTTGTTGGAAATTTCAAAGGAGTGGTTCGAGTTCAGCTCCACATGGTTCGAGACTTATATCATCGATCTACGACTAGATCGAGTCTCCTAAACTCGAACCGGTTAGTAGTTCGAGTTCCTCAAACTCGAACCACTCCAAACTTAGGTATTTTGGGAAATTTTTTTAAAAGTGTGGTAGTTTAGGAATTTGTTTTAATTTTATCTGTATTTAGGGAATTAATCCTTCGTTTTCTTGCGCCTTCCTTTTCGGGATCGGGAGGAAGTCGTCGACAAGGAGCTGGTAAGAGTGCCAGTAGGATTCGGCGGGAGGAAATCGTTGGTCCGGCAGAGGTAGTCGGACTAGACGAGGCGGAGGTACTGGCAGGCCTGGGTGCGGTCGACGGTGGGGATTGTGGCGTTCTGGACGAGGTTGCGGAGGACGGAGAAGTCGAGCGAGCATGGTTCGGTGGTGTCGTTCTGGGCGACGGCGGCGGGTGGGGTGAGTAGTGTCAGGAGAAGGATGGAGAGGTGGAGGAGGAGGAGGTGCGAGGTGGCGGCGGACATGGCGGAGATCCAAGTCTCGAAGATGGCGGGGGAGATCATCTGAGCTCGGGGGCGCGAGGGTGGATGTGGGGAGAGGCGACGCCGACAGGGAATTGGAGGACAGCGTAGGAGACGCTCTGGCCGTGGGTTTAGAGGGTAGGGTTATAAATTTTAATTGAAATTATTTTATTATTATTTATATATAATTTACCCTTTTACACAGAATGAATCATGTTGTTACAATAAACAACACTAAAAAGTGTTGTTATTCTATCCGAGCCCGTCTCCACATTGCACCTTATACCCCACACTTTGATTTGTAAGCATTTTGCATGTGGTAGAGGTAATGATACAAGGATAAACTCATGTATTCCCCTATTTGGGTTAGATATGACACTACGGTGTTATGCTCTCCAGAAATGCTACAAACCGATCTTCGTCAAGTAGTCTATTGAGATCTGGCTTGACTCCTTAATGTATCTCCACCAAGATTTCGAATTTTTTTTCATGGTCTCCAACTTTAGGAATGTCATCCTCCATCTTTTCGCAAAGAGTGCCCTTGTAACTTGTGAACTCTTCTTGCTCAACCCTAACTTCTTCTTGTTCAAAGTTCTGCGCATAACTTTGAAAAGATGGTGTAAGGGAATCTTGAAGGGGTCCATCCACTTCAAAGTTTGGTTCTTCTATGCATAGAGCATCATTGCTTGGGGTAGGTGAGATACTCCTTGTTCTTCTTCCACTATTATAAAGGATGATGGAGAGGTTTAGTCTTCCAGTCTAGTAGCAACAACTTCTGGATATACCTTTTTATAAAAGTACTTAAAAAATTATGAGTTTTGACTGATAAACTATTATAACTACTTTCAATACCAGGAATAACATAAAATCATTAAAAATAATTTATAATATAAAATATGAATAAAAACTAAAAAGTTAAAATGGCTCTAGTTGGACAAAAGATGGGTCTATCATGATATTTGATGACCAAAATATTCATAGTCGTGGATATCCGTCCGAGTTTGATCTAATTGGGTAGGGTAAAATTCAAACTCAAAAGATTTTAGATGGGTATGGGTGACACACGAATCCAAATGTTGGTAATAGGTGAACATGGTTTTCTAACTATCTAACCCAAACCCGCCTAATTATACATATGTCTATGTATTTTTCCCCTATAAATGGTGATTATGTTTCTCATTATATTTGAAAATTATTGTACATAAATAGTATTTTTTATAATGGTGATATATGTTTCATTTTTTTGTAATTAAGGTACTACATAAGGGATTCGAAACCGAGACCTCCAGATTCTAGACTAGTGGTATTACCACTAGGTCAAGCCCTTGTTCGTATTCATATATAGTATTATCATGACATTGTGTTCTTTTTAACTGATTTTCTTCGTTCTAGTGATTTATTGTTATGCCTTTTCAATTACGTAATGTCAGTACACGTCTAATTGCTAACATTTTGAAATTATAAAGAAAAATTATATTACTATAAATACTCGAAACCCAATCAGATATAGACATGTTTTTAATTTTCTATTCAATTCTTATGTAATATGTGTATGGTTAAAACTCGAACTATTTTAAATAATATAGTAAATATGCACTATCCAAATTATCATCCCTATATAAAAATATTTACCCCAATTATCATCCACCGCAACTATGCAAGCGATCTTGAAAAAGACAATACAATGAGACGATTTCCTCAATATCAGCTTGCAGCTGCAGCGACAACAAACACCAATGGCCTTGAAGTTATCGGCTCATCCTGTAACCCCAAAGCTGATCGTCCTCCCCTCCCCTATATAGCATCTGCACATACCTTATAAAATACTCACTTCCTCTCCCTCTTCATTATTTCTTTTTTCCCCATATTCATTCCTTCCTTCCTTCCTTCCTTCCTTCCTTCACATATATGGCCACCTTCCTTGCTTCTCCTACTTGTCCTGTCGCTGCCCTGCCGCCCTCCTCCTCCAGAACCAAATCGAGCAACTTCACTGCCTGCTTCTCCATTAATGTATGTTGTTCTTCTTCCCCAGTTTTTGTCTTACTAACGTGTAATTGTTAACATGTTTGTTTGAATGGCGTGCAGGGCATGCAGGGAGGTCCGACGTTCGTCGGGCTAAAACATGTCCCAAAGTTCCACTTCTCATCAAGTGTTTCCTCTACCAGCTCTAGATGCTTCAAGGCCACGATTACTTGCTCCGTAAGGCACCAAAGAAAAAAACCCACAGATCTTTTTCGTCTTCCCTGTGGAAACTCACATGATCGGTGTATCTGGGTTCTCGCAGGCCGAAGCTGAAACGCTGAAGGTCGTCCAAGACACAATTGCTAAGCAATTGTCCATTGAAGTTACCACGGTGGCTCCGGAGACCAAGTTTGCTGACTTGGGTGCCGACTCCCTCGATACAGTATGAATATTCTGCAGACATTCTACAAATTGCAGACATGTATAAATCTTATTTGATCAAATACTTTTTTCTCTCAACGTTTACATCAAACGTATGGTTGCATCAGGTGGAAATAATGATGGCTCTGGAAGAGCAGTTTTCGGTGTCCATTGGCGAAGGCGGAGCCGAGAACATTCAAACTGTTCAAGAAGCTGCAGATCTCATCGAGAAAGTTAAGAATGCTGCAGCTACTTAGTTTCACCCAACTTTGTTATAGATCCTTCAGGAGGGACAAAAAGCTGAGTTTTTTTTTTCTTCGATATTTATTTTCTTCATACAAAGAAGCTAATTTTGTCTCAAGCTGTAAGGCAGCAGTATCATAAGGTTTTGTGTTTCAGCATTCAAAGACCAAACTATGTACCCATGAGGCCATGACTGAAGTTAGCCTGTACTTGACCAAAAAGAGAACAATACGTATGGAATTCAATAAAGATGGACATTGTACGTTGTATTTTCACTGTCCAGCTTGCTAATTTGAATTCTGAAGACTTTCTAGACTATCTTCCATCTAAATGTCAGGTAACAAGTTATATATGGCCACCACTAATACTATAATCCATTATCCACTCACATCAGGAAATATAAACATCAAATGAAGAGCAGGGCAGTGAGTTTTGTGAATAGAATCCTTCCAACATGTAACCGGGAAGGCATAGTTCGAATCCCATGGTTGCAGCAGCATATGTAAACTTGTTCTTTCTGCTTGCTGCAAAAGATAAAGAACAATTAGTAACGATTCAGCAATCTCCAATTGGTCGCAGCATTTGACAGCATTGGTTTGTCAGACCACAAGGTCTATCTTATTACAACGAATGAGAGATTTGTATGTCTATAAACATTCAATTGTAATGAGATGGAAAAACATGGGACGGCCAAGAAATCAAAGAACATGAGGTGTGACCCATGGAGCAGTAAAATTCCCAACGAATAGATGTACTTCAATCACACTGCGGAGCAGTTGTCAGTCACCGAGAAATCCGACCTTAAGTAGAGAGCTTTAGCAGGCCATTTCTGACGAGCAACTTCATCTAGTCTTCAAACCTTGCAAGCCAGTTACTGATGGTTATAGCCAGGCCTCGGGTATCACCCAGTGAAAGACTTTTAAGTCCTTGAGCAATGGCGTCTGCAGGAGTATACACATCACCGACTTCCCATCTTGGTTCCTATTCAATTGCGACAAACAAAATTAGTTACCCTTGACCAAAGAAATGAAGGTGAGAAGACATTGGTGGAAAAACCTATGAAACTGTGATTGGCTACCTTCTGAAATATGAGCATTAGTGCTGAGATGCAAAATATGTATGGACATTTCACTACTTTCTTCTTCGAACATAGGAGGCACAATATTCATAAATATGGATTGATAGAAGACAGTCTCTGAAACTAACCTGGATGCATGGAGTGAGATGGGTGCCACTTAACTGAATCTTTTCTATTGTCCCACCCATGGACTCAATCCGAGGCTTCAGCGCTTCCTCAAGGAGATCCGACTCATCAATTGTGTCTGAATCGAACTTCACCTGTACATCAGTTGGATATAGCCCCAAAAAAAATAAGAATAACAACCTTACATTTTGTCTAAGTTCAGGGTTTACACATTAGAGAAAGGAACAAATTTTGGGATATTCAATAGCAGTTTAAGATTTTCGAAATACAGAAGTCGTACATACCAGTAATGTGTGCGGGACATTGTACAAGTTCTTGAAACAATCACGATTTTCGGCAGGTGTTGGCTTGAATTCGGATATCCCTTCAGTAACCTAACAACATTCATCTCTGTACATTAACACCAAATTGGACTCTGAACTGCTAAGTAAAGCATTGGCAAATCAGGTTATAGAGAAAATAGTCTACCATGTGACCGTTGGTTTAATGGCTTATATTAGTCAATTAAGCCTTTAATTCATTAAGGAAATGGGCTTACTAGAAAAGTGGGAACAATATTTTCAGGACAAGTTCGTAAACTATGCCGCCAACTTTAACCCTGGTACGGTCAATTTGGTTTGGAATGTGAAGGCCACAAAATCAAAATACCTCGCATTTGCATCTAGCGTGTCAGCAGGGCAGCTTCAGAGAAAGCATTTAATAACTTAAGCAAAAGCATTGTAACGAAAGGAAGAAATAAGAACTTGAGCTGAAGCTGCCTAGAGAAATTATGATCGGGTTTGAACTAGTTAACATAGAAAATACGATGAAGTTGCTAGTAAATGAAGCTCCAATGAACTACTCTATAGTAGCATCTCAAGTCTAGTATCTTAAGTACAAGACAGTAATTAGACGAACTTTGTGAATGGGTATAGGAAAAATAATAAATTGGAGATGTACGAACCAATAAAAAAGTTCCAGCTTCATCATTATTATTTTTCTTATACCAACATGAACAAGACAGATTATTAGCAAACCTGATTCATCACCGAAGGCAACTGATCAACGAACTTTGTGAATGCACCGAGGGCTTCCTGACTATTTTCTGGCACTATAGCTTCAGCCATATCAAGTAGAGACTTCCAAGCATCTCCTATGAAATGAAGAATCAATGTCAAGCAGAACAAAAAACCATATTTAGCTAGTATGTATTACATCCTTAGCAGAATACAAACATGTATATAATTCCATCCACCTTAGTGGTGCTGAAGCTGGGTGAAACAATAGGATGTCACGGTAGGAGCAACGGAATCATTGAAAAATGGATATTTTACCAAGAACCAATTAGGGAGAACGTAAAAGCATTACAGAATCCTCTACAATATTAAATAAATGGGATAATGGCTAAAGAAAGGGGCAAAAATAAAAGAGAAGACTAAGATGTGCGATACTAAGATTGCAGTATTTCTTCCCGTAACTAACTTCAAAATGGCATGGTCTTGTCTGCAATTTACCTGAGGCAGTCCTAGCCATAGAATATACAGGCGATGCTTCCATAACTGGCATCATCTGGTTGACAAGAGGCCCAAACTGCTTTTTAAGAAGCTAAATGTTAGTGGCACAAAAGCATCATGATCTGGCTGAAAGAAGGGGGAACGCTTACAGTCCTGGAAGACTGACTAGACTTGGTCATTGGGCTATCATAAAAAAAAACTATGAACTAGATTGTCTTGTGAAATAAAAGAAAATGCATAATTAGGTGTATCTGTATCATCTTAAACAATTGCCCAACCTATCCAACAGTCTAAAGCTCCAGTGCGGAAACATCTCCTAATTCTTGCAGAAGAGTATGAAATGAGGATGCCACCAAATGAACATGCCAGAAATTTCTTAAAACTAATCGATAAATTGCTGGGAATGGTACATTCACCTGCTCAAAGTATGGTACAGCCTCTGTAGCAGGCCTGTTGTTGAATGAGACAATGACATTAGCCTTCCACAAAAGATAATAGCAGTCATCACTCTCAACGAATTGTTCAAGGCTCGAACTTTAAGCAAGAACAAATCAAACAGAAAACAATGCCAAACAAACCTTAGGAATCCTCTCTGCGAAATAACTTCCTACAAGCCCTTGGAGAAGTGCCCCATTACTGAAATGAACATCCACATAGAGAGCTAATATCAGCATTCATTTGATGTGATGTCATGGTGAAATGCAAGTTGCGATACTATTGAAGTTGATCGCAATCGACACCAATGCTCGTGCTCCGTGACATGAAGAGCTTAAGTTATCTCTTGAGAGCAGATATTAATATCCGTTAATGAAGTTTCAGATATGTGATCAAGCAGAAACCAAGTTAACCGAGGAGGGTTTTACTGGACGCACCCACCTATGCCCAACAGAGAAAAGTGGAAGGCCGGCGAGGTTTGCAGGAGTGAGGTCGGAATCAGGCAGTCCATTTTGCAGTAACGAGTCCAGGCAAGAATTGAACCTTTCATAGACTTGGTTAGCAGCTGAAGAGTGATCGAAGGTGACATTGTAGGGCACGGAGATAACAAGAAACCCTTCCTTGGCCAATTGCTCCATCAGATAGCTGCCAGTCAGTTCGGGACAGCACAAGAGAGAAAAATAAGAAAATTGATAGTTCATCCTCAATTCACAGAAGAAACGAACACTGAGCTAGCAAGCAGAAAGACAGGGGAGATTGATTGATTGATTGATACCCGTAAGTGACCTCCGGAACTGCTCCGACGAACGCACCGCCCAAGAATTTGATAATTGCGCGCGGCGGTTTGCCTTCAGTCTGTGGAGGAATCACCAAGCAAGAATCCATTCTCCTGAATAGCTTCTTCCCACTGCTGGGGCTGGTGGTTCTGGCGCTGAATCGAGAACTGCTGCTACTGCTGGAGCTGGTGGCACTGTTTGCGTAGCCATTGGTGATGCATAGGGTAGAGAGAGGATTAAGAAGTTGAGCCCGCCGTCCCCCATTGCTTCCAGCGAGCATCCATGAACGGCGCAGCGGCAGCTTCGAGCATGGATAAGAAGAAGAAGAAGGACAAATGCAGCAGACAGAAGTCGACATTTCCATAAATTCGGGAGGCGGCGACGTTTGATGCTTCCTCCCAACGTCTCGATGCTGCTTCTTCTCAACAATCCAGTCGAAAGCGCTGAGTGGTGGTTAAGCTTCCACTCTGTTGTGCAGAAATAATTATTATTCATGTGGCATTATGATCGCCATAATTATTCTTCTGATGTATAATTACTGGGGAAGAGAAGAGTGGAGAATGAGTGGAGATGAAAAAGGCCAAGTGCCAAGTTTTAACGTACGATGATGCTTCCGCCACGATTTTCCCACCTCGCACCTTGGCCTGGAAAGTGACCGTCCGTTGAGGCTTGAGATGGGCATGGGTGGGACGGGTTAGCATGCTAACCCTTTAAGGTGTTGGTTTTTTGACACCCCTTTTAATTGGTCAATTTTTCATTAATTATTGACAAGTATTAATGAAAGTAAATATAATAAATGTTGTTATTAAATACAAAGTAAGCATTAAATACACCACATTAATTACCACTTTATTGGTATTTGTACCACTGCACTGATACTCAGATATGACATTGCTACCAGTGCACTGATATCGCTACCAGTGCAGTGGTATATCTACCAGTACAGTGGTACAACGTATCAGTGCAGTGGTATATCTACCAGTACAGTGGTACAACGTATCAGTGCAGTGGTATATCTACCAGTACAGTGGTACACCGTATCAGTGCAGTGGTATATTTTTTGGAGGTGGTCGGAGAGAGTCTGCCGATGGGATTTTCACCGGAGAAGTGTGGCGGTCGGAGGAAGTCTGGTGGTCGGAGACTGCTGAAAAAGGAAAAATAAAATATAGTGAGAGAATTCCTAATGTGTATTTAATGTGTGTATTTAATTCCTAATGTGTATTTAATAGTGAGAGAATTCCTAATTAATATGGTACATTTAATTCCTAATGTGTATTTAATGTGTGTATTAAATTCTATAGTTGTATTTAATATACTAGGGGGGTGTCATTTTTCTAACCCCTAAGGGGGGTTAGCATGCTAACCGACCCCGGGCATGGGTGGTTCGTGGTTGAACCCATAAATTCGCTCAAATTCATCCAGAACTGATTCACATCATGTAATGGGTAATTGGTAGGGATGGCAATTTACCCACCCATGGGTAATTTTACCCAAACCCAAGTAGACCCATTTATTATGGGTAGGGTTTGGGTGATGTGTGTATGGGTTTGGGTTAGATATGGATATTATCTAAATGGGTATGGGTTGGATATGGATATCCATTTACTTGAGGGTGTTTTAACTACACATGCAAAAATTGGACTTATCTGTAAAACTTGAAAATTTTAGGTACCAAAATGTAAGACCAAAAAAATTTAGGTACCAAAAACGTAATTTTCCATCGATATTTTAAGGACTTATATGCAAAAAAAATTAAATTTAGGTACTAAATACGCATATCTATTAAGTTTAGGTACCAAACTGTAATTTGTATTTGGGCATGGGTACAAACCCAAATCCATTTGTTATAAACCCAACCCAACCCAAAATAAATGGGTATGGGTACAAACCCATCAAACTTTACTCGTATCCATATATTTGGATTTCATACCCAACCCAATTGGGTTGGATAGTAAAATACCCATGGGTATGGCCAAAGTTGTCATCCCTAGTAATTGGGGGTAGGGATAACAATAGGTCGAATTGGGCCATATTGACTACTCTAATTTCTTTTAAAGTTTAGTGTGTTCTTACCGATATTACATTAGAATTTTGAATATTTGGATATTACATTAGAATGATTCTTACACCAAATGTAAGTGTTGGACCTGAAAAAACCATTAGACTAGTCTGGCCCAGCCCAGTCCAATCATTCAGGCTCAAGGACTCAACCTGATTCAGTCAGTCCAACAAGGCCTATCGAGCGCCTAAGTCTAGAAAGGACGTCACGCGCCAACTCATCGGGACAGCTTTCCACATCAAGAGAAAGATGACACTGAGCCATGGGAGTTGGGACCACCCCCTCAGTTTGCCCCCTAAGATTGATGCTCAGACATTTTTTTGTAATAACGAATATTGAAGACCAGTTAAAAGGACAAACATAATGTCATAAAATAAAACAATATGCATGGAACATTATTAAATGCGCTTAAAAGTGGTTGAACAAGATCTAATGAACCCGTACATAACAATTATGGCGTTTAACCTGATTTGCGTATTATGAAGAGGAGAAACAACTTTAGAGAAAGCACACACCGAATACAGATTTCTCCAAACAAATATCCTAAAACCCTTCATCTTCCTACCTCTCTATACCCACACTTCCCCCTCTCTTCTTGTTTTTTATCACTCACCAGATCTCATTCCATTCACCTATCTTCCCTCTGACCAAACCTCCTCTAACAATCTCTCATCGAAATTTACTGTAATGACCAAAATTCCTAATCAAATCGTCTATCCATTCGAGAGAACATAAATAATTGGCTCCCACTATCGGACACTAAATGATTTTCCACATTCAAAGCGGTCATGAACAGGACAACAAAAATTCATGAGGGAAGCCCTTAGACCATCTCCAACAACCAAATGTCAAAATGCTAGAATGCCAAAATTATTTGGCATTTTGGCACTCAAAAAGTGGTTTTTGCTCCAACAAGCAAAGTCAAAATGCTAGAATGCCAAATCTTGTCATTTTGTGATAATCTAGCTTAGTGTAGATTTCATCACTTTAATTAGATATTTTATAGATTATTTGTATATAGGTAGAGATAAAAAATATATACGAATGTTTCGATATATTTTTTTTACTTTTGACATAAAAAAAAAATTATTGTTAAATATGATGTTTATAGAGAAATTCGTGAAAAAGAACTGTTAGGGGCTAATAGAGCCGTTGGTAATTATTTGAGTGACTGAAATAGATTTTTTTCTTCTTCTTTTTCAATTTCCAACGGTTATAAAGGTGGAAAAGTGTGGGGCCAGCTCCCAACCCACATTTAGCTTTCTTTGTCTTTTTCCAATGGGTTTTTGGCTGAAATTTTTGGTTTTTTTGGCTTTTTAGCTTTACCCAATTGCCATTGGAGGAAGTATTTTATGATTTTTGGCTTTTAAGATTAGTTGTTGGAGATGGTCTTAGACCACCCACAATGTGGGTTGATAAAGTGGAAAAAGTGGGAAAAAGTATTGTAGTGTGGTACGGAAAAGTGGGAAAGGTGGGAAAGTTGGGAAAAATGGGGGATAAACCCACTCATAAAAGAAAAAAGGTGGATAGATGTGTGGGGTGCGGGACCCAATTGCCATTGGAGGAAGTATTTTATGATTTTTGGCTTTTAAGATTAGTTGTTGGAGATGGTCTTAGACCACCCACAATGTGGGTTGATAAAGTGGAAAAAGTGGGAAAAAGTATTGTAGTGTGGTACGGAAAAGTGGGAAAGGTGGGAAAGTTGGGGAAAATGGGGGATAAACCCACTCATAAAAGAAAAAAGGTGGATAGATGTGTGGGGTGCGGGACGGAGACGAAAATCACTTTTTGTTTTTGTTTTCTGAAATTGGGGAAAGTATATTATTTGGGTGTGTTTTCTGAGTTATGGTCATCCCGTATTATTATGCTTTCATCATTGATGACGTCATATTTAAATAGTGATGAAAAAAATATATGTCCAAATTAAAAAAATTATATCAAAATGTTCGTATTAATTAATTATCACTAACTTTGTAAGAATAATGATCATTATATAAAAATAAAGTGACGAAATCAAGTAAAAATGAATTTTTTTTAAAAAAAATGTTAAACCAATTACCCCCTTTTTCCATCCCACATTGTGACCAAAACCTCCCCTCACCCTCTTTTCCCACCTTTTCCTCCCACTCACATTATGGATGGTCTTAAAGCATGGCGTGGAGCCCCTTCGACATCCTGTAGAACTCTCAGGATGCGGATAGATGATTCTGATTGTGTAACTTAGTTAAAAGAGAAATTTGAAGCCCAAGGGAACAAACTTATAGACCTGCAGGAGCAGGTATAAATTGTAGCAAATCTCCTAGCACAACAGAATGAACTTCTGGCTCTATGAGCACCAATGAGAGTGATCGAGCAAGATAGGAGTACAGATCACAGTAATACGAGCGATACATAAACAAAGGAAAAATGGAAAACACTACCAAGCAGTGGGGTAACCATGATTTCGTTTAAAGTGGGTCTACTTAGAAGAAAAATATAGATGATAGATAAAGTTTTTTTTTAAAACTTTGCTATCATTCATGATATAATCGTATATTGGAAAATTTTAATAAATTAAAATACATTAGTAGTTGAAACTATCAATAATATCACTTTGTGTACCAAACAATTATTAATGATTTAGCGAGTCGTTCTCTTCCGAATGATGTTCTTTGTCAAGAACCGTTTAGTATCAATAACTCGAGTTGTTGAGAGAAGTTTAATAATGAATCGTACACAAAAAATTAATCCATGATTTAGTTAGTTGTTCGCTTCCGAATGGTGTTTTTTGTCAAAAACCATTTAGTATCAATAACTCGAGTTGTTGAGAGAGATTCAACAATATATCTTATACCATTTACTAGCACCCTCTCTTATAAGAAAGTTAGCTTATATAGAATTGAAGTTTGCACAAATTGGCCCGCTTATACAGAATTGAAGTTTGCAAAATTAGAATATCGTGTGCTTAAGATATGAGGTCACCAAGATTCAAACACAAGACCTTTTAATAAACTATTCTTAATTGGATGCACCCTAATTTTCGGTATCACTTAACTATTATACCTAATTCAACCATCTTTCTTCGAAGACAGGACAAGACCACCCTCCTATAGTCCAATAATGCATATTACAACCCTCATCTCAAAGTCTTGTCTTGGGATGGAATTGAAGCAAAAATCTATATCTATCTATCTATCTATCTATCTATCTATCTATACTTAATATTATGGCTATTCAAAAATAATTTCTTGCCACATAAACACTTGGTGAATGCACAAGTTGCCAAGGTGGACAATTTTTTTACAAACAAAAAACTATTTATTGATCTATTTATGAAGTTGTCTCTCTCTTCTTTTAATAATTCTACTCATTTTTACTAAAATTAAAATAAGTTAATTTTTTAAGAAACATTTAAACAAAAAAAACACACCTAAGTAATAAAAAAAATCGATTAAACAAACTATAAAGATGAAAACAGAGAGTGACATATATTGTATTTGTTTAAGCCAAGCTGATTAAACCTGATTAAGTAAATTTTCTACTCTTTTTTACTAAAACTTAATAATAAGTTACATTTTGATGAAGAAAAAAAAAACAAGCACACACATAAAATATAAACGATGGTCTAAGAGAAAATAAGCGTTTGACAATCAATCGACTTTGAGAAATGAACGATATGACTATATGTTTTCTGCTATCAAACACTCACTTCTTTCCCCATATCATACACTTCTTTCTTCACCCAGTTAGGTAAAATTGAAGGAGAGAAACAGAAAGAGAGTAGCTTTATATATAAAAACTTGCGGTTTGCTGGATTTTGATCGAGAGAAGTAAATGTTATTGACATATTTATAGTGAGTCATGAGCGTGGGAGTGAATGTATGACTGAGGGTGCAAAAAAGGAAAGAAGGAAATGAAAAGAGGTAAATGTTACTAGCATATTTATAGTGAGTCATGAGCGTGGGAGTGAATGTATGAGTGAGAGTGCAAAAAAGGAAAGAAGGAAAGGAAAAGACAGCAAGCATTGATCATATTATTAGTGTCCACCCTAGCCCGATTAATACGAGGCATTTTGGAGAGGACACACAAGAGTAAAACCGTGCGGATTTGACCCAAGAAAGAAAATATCGTACTATTTGAGCAAACTTTTAATTTGTTTTTATCCCTTTTCCCATTTTGATTATCTCTCTAGAAATAAAATCCAACATTGAAAATAAGAAATCAAGAAAGTATGTCAACCACCATAAAAATAAACAAAGCCCTCTTATTAGTTGCTAAATTTTTTTGAGATTTCTAATATTTGTATTCTCATAATTTATAGAGAAAGAAATGGTAATGCATACGATTTTTTTTCTTTGTATGAGAATAGGAGGCAGGAGTTACACGAGACAACGATAAGATGATAAAATTTTGAGCAGTTGTAACATATTTTTGCCTGTTGACGAAAAAAGTTAATCTGATCATTGTGAAGATGAGGTGAACCAAGCCGAGGGTTGTCGACTGCTCCCTCTTCCTCCTTGATCTGAAGCTGGCAACTGGTCCCACTTTCTAAGCGATATGTTATTGTTTGCGGTTGACTGGCCGAGTTATACTCTTTTTCCCATTTTTTTCTTAATTTTTTCCCATTGTGTTTTATTAGGTGATAAAGCACAATTCTTTTCTGCAGGAGATATGCAGCTCTCTACAAAATATAAATTGTGTTTAATTATATGTAGTTTAATTTGCTGAAAATATTGTTTTAATAAGGTAGTGACCACTGACAGTTTTGTTTGTGGTTGGTTTTGCTAGAACATTTCAAGGTAATTAAACAAGTACGTGGAAGATTGATGGACGTGGATGCTAATGGGTTTCCTCATTATTCCAAAATTGTATGTGTAAGTGATAATACACGATATTCATGGGATTTAGATCGGAATATTCTCTATTATCATATACCGGCATATGAGAAGGGAGAGAAAATAAAAAGCTCTTCGCTTATTTTTTTATTAATTGAAGCATATTTTCTTATTCTAACTTCTTCTTTTGTGGCCATAAGTTTTTTAACTTCTTTATCACAATTCTGTGCTAAAGAATGAATAATCTCTTATGTTTATAATCTTAAAGGGCGAGTTCGATAAAAAAAATTCTAAATCAATAAAGAACCGACTACAAAGAGCTCAGTTAATAAAATTAAAATGTTCATAAATAAACAAAAGGTATACAAGTTTGAAATAAGGTAAGTGGGATTTACAATTCCATGTATATTACCTTAGCAAACATAAATAATAATAACTATTAGAATACTATAATGAATTATAAAACAACCAAACAAAATACACCGCCCAATGGACGGGTAAAAAACTAGTTAATAAGATATGATTCATTGGAAATTAAGGCGAAACATATATCTAGGAGGAAAGAGAAACATGGAGAGTACAGAAAGTTGGCTTGGTGCATTTTTCACTATGTTAATGCTATGTACACATTTTTTTTGTTCTCTTCCCTATTAATTTAAGAGGTCGTATGATTATTTTTCTGAGATTGTTATTATACTTGTATTGTTTAGGATGTATCATTTTCTTAATATTTTTTAGCAGATACAATACATGAATTGTTTCTTTGATGTGATAGAAATTATCACTCAAAATAAATGATTGTTATATCTCAACTTTTAGCTGAGATTGTTAAGATAGTTGACTTCAAATTATTTTATCTCAGCTTTTAACTAATGTGACATACATAATCACACATACCAATAATTGTATACAAAATATACATTTATTTAAAAATCCAACTTCTAACCCACATTCATTATATCATTTGATTTTGGCACGCTAATGTCCGGTTTGGATTGGGCAGATCCGGATATTCGGTCCCATGATTGGGCTTCAAAAGACAAGCATGTCTATTTATATGGGCCTGTAATCGGCCCAGTCAATGACGACCCGACACTCTAGCTCGAACCTCTCTCCCATCCGAAGGGCCCTTGTGGTAAAGACGTAAAACCAGAGCGGTAGGCAAAGCTGCGAGCGAGTTGTCACCAAAACTTTGACCCGGGCAGAAACCAGGAAAAATGGCCGAGTTAGCTCCATTTCGCACTCACTCCATTTCCTCCCACCTCCTTCCCACCCACTCTTCCAAGCTCCGCTTCCGAGCTCCGGCCGCCGGCCCCTCTATCTCTCTGGGGTCTCGCTGCCAGCTGCTGAGTTTTCCGAAAAGCCTGCATTTCAAGCGTCCGATCTTCGTCTCTAGGGTTATCGTCTCTTCGGACAGCAAGACTTCGACGATCATCACCGACAACGTTGACCTGTCCACCCAAGGGATTGAGATTGAGCCCGATAACGGAGACGGAGGGGACAATCACGGTGATATAGGAGATAACGGCAGAAGAGGAGGAGGAGGCGGCGGTGGAGGAGGAGGCGGCGGCGATAGTCGTAACGAAGGCGAGGGAGGATCTTCGGAGGATAGTAGTAAGAAGAAGATGGCTTTGTCCATGTCTCAGAAGCTCACTCTTGGTTATGCTGCTCTTGTTGGAGGTAAAGCTCCTTTCTTTCTAAGCTTCAATTTCTCTAGGTGTCATACTGATAGCTTAATCTCTGGTTTGGATTATGATCGGAGAACACTTGTCTAGTTTGCTATGATAACCTTTGATCTCGCCTACCGGTCTAGGGTTTACAATTAGCCCAAATCAAAGGGCTCTCTAACAGCACAGAAGATCTAGGGCCTAAACCCGTGACGTGCTTAGACTTAACATTGCCTAGATTAACATGGAACCAATGTAGTCTAAATTTTGCTTTAAAGCTTATACATTTACACTTCTAGGTGATCAAAACGCTTCTATGTAGAATCGCGGTTTTCCCCTACTAGTGTAGTCAAAATCTATGCTTTAAAGCTTACGTTTTTACACTTTTAGATCACCAAAACACTTCTATGTAGAATCATGATTTTGACTGCATTACATGGTACATGTCCGATTGCTCGTTCTAAATTTGATTAACCTTGAGAGTTCATTAAGATATGATTGCTATTTGACTAGATGATTGGGCACTGACCCAAGTTTTTGGTTTGTTCCTTTGTGTATTGGGTTTGAACCAACTGTTTATGTGGCAGTGGGAGGTCTGATGGGGTATATGAAAAGTGGTAGTCAGAAATCACTCCTGGCAGGCGGCCTATCTGCGGCAGTGCTGTATTATGTGTATACTCAGCTTCCAGCAAACCCTGTTTATGCATCATCCATAGGGCTTGGTAAGGCAACAGATGGATATGTAGTACTTCTGGTTCTGGACTCGCATCACTTCTCTATTACCTGCCTGAGTTCAGTTACCTGAAGTGCTTGGTGGTTTGTTTTCTGTCCGGGAATCTGCAGGTGTGGCTTCTGTGCTTACCGGGGTGATGGCTTCGCGGTTCATGAAGTCGAAGAAGGTCTTCCCTGCAGGTGTTGTATCCCTCGTGTCGGTAGTGATGACTGGTGGGTACATCCATGGAATCCTACGCAGCATGCATTGATTCGTCGAGACACTCTATTTCCGGATGATGCTGCAGAACGGGAGACAGATGTTTTGCACGACTCCTTTTTTTTGTTCCTTCTTTGGGCTGCATCCGTTTTTATGTTTTTTAGCATAGTATGGGTCTGGACTCTGGAGTTTGGACTTTGGCAATGTAGATGAGGACTGCGCACTCGCTAGTTCTTCATAGTTTGTATGTTGACAATTTCAGTGATGGGTTGAGTTTGAGTTTGGCCTTGTTCAGACTTTGCTCGTCAATAAATTAGTCGAGGTTGAGTTCAGTTCGTTTACTAAAAACTTGATTTCTATTTGATTCGAGTACAATTCAAGGTTGACTTATCAATGAGTTTGAGAGTTTTACTTGAGTACTGGTCATCAATGAGCTCTGTTCAAGCTCTGTTCATAAACTATAGATAATAAATACACTCATTAGTGGCTGTCTAGCTAATACTGTTGAGTCAACTCACAGGTTAAACTCAACAAGTTTATGAGTCGATCTTACTTATAAATCTCATGAGATAGAACAAGATTTAGCTCACACTCGGCTTGTAAATGAGCCAATTGTCGAAAGAACTTCTCACGAATTGTGCTCACGAATTGTGCTTCAAAATGCTCGTGAGTTGGTCGGCTAATTTGTTGCGCTAACAAGGCAACAGAGCAGCATGCGGGAATACCTTCGTCTTTGTTCAAATGGAATGCGGCCTAAACTCTCTTGGAAGTTGGAAGTAAGACGAAGCTGTAAGCTGCCCTCAGTTCTTTGAGAGACGAAGCTGGAAGTCTAGAAATAAAGTGATTTTTGAATTTTACCAACCTCATGTCCGTTCCCTAGCCAGACATTTCTACAACCAGGTCCTTGATATCTCAAAGACTCTCCTCCCTCCCCAACCCCACAACTCTCTTCCCAAACCATCCAACCGCCACATGGGTCCCGCCGCCAGACAATTACTTGAAGATCAATTTCGACGCTGCTGTTTGTGCCACCGGGTGTTCGTCTGGACTTGTTGTCCTTGGGTCAGACGGACATGTGGTGTTGGCGTTCAGGTTACAGCTTCAAGGAATAGTCAACCCTTCCCTGACAGAGCTCCTAGCCATTAGAGACGCTATTCCGAAGTGATCGTCAAGTAGAGCCGGCAAGCCTTCATAGAAGACTCGATTGGTGATCCGGTGCTACGAGAGTGTCGTCAGATCCTTAGCTCTTTGTCCATTTGTATAGAGTTTAGGGCGGTGCCTAGAACTGCCAACAGTGCTGCCCATAGAGTGGCGTGTAAAGCACTGCTTTTGTCTCGTCTAGAGCTAGAATTTTTCGATTTTTTGGGTGGCTTCATTAGTATATATTGTAAAGGGTCCTGGGTAGATTTGTATGAATAACTCTTGTCCTCAATTGATATCACTCAGAAATAAAAAAAGTTCTTTGAGAGACGGACATACATGAACATGATTATATAAAGTGCAACCTTTAAGGCAACAAACATTTTACAGGGATACACCTTACAACATCAACTCAGAACTAAATTAGACATAGAGAGGTTCACAGTAACAAACAGCGTCTTGTTCGTTTGTCTGATTTGTCAAATTGGTGGTTCACATACAAGCGATTTTGTACTAATGTCTTAAGATAACACAAAGTTAACGATATATATATTTCGGCTGATAATTGTATAATAGGATAATGATTCTTCTCCTCGGACAACTTGCAAGTCAATCAAGCATTGTTCGGAGCTGCAGCAGCCAGCGTTTGCTGAAGATGCTCGGCTGTAAGCAAGTTGTTGGAATCATGCTTCATGTTCTCAGCTGCTGATGGAGATGAAGGAATAGAGTAGGGACTCTTGCTCATCATCCTACAGCAAAAGGTTTAGGAACCACCATTGCAGCAACAAGTCAAAATACAACAGCACAAAGCCAGTAATGATCAATCAACCAGTCTAACAGCTACCTGTCCCTTCTCTTCTCAAAGAAGCGCTGGAGAGAGTGCCTCCTTGCAATTGGCAGATCTAAACAACACAACAGACAATAGAAGAGAACATTTGTTAGACTTTGCTATGATTCATAGCTAATACGCAGGACATTCCAGTTTCACTCCATGAACTACTTACCAGCTTGCATTTTGCAGAGAGAATTTTTATGAGCAGCGTACTGCGGAGAGGCCAATGCACTAGAGGTACTTTGCATTGAAGGAGACCTAGAGAGGACTGGTGCAGCAGGAACAACAGCAGGAACAGCAGCAGCTGGTGCAGGTCCTGATTCGATCTTCTTGATATCAGCAGACTTCACAGCTTGTGCCGCAGCAGCAGCTATAGCCATTATTTCACGAGCCTAACAAAGCAACCAGTTGGAAAGAAAAAAGAGTTAGCTAGAGCTAGAAAGAATTGCGGCCCTCCATCCTTATAAACTTAGTGAGCATTTAGACGACTGTTTCCGACAGTGAAAGAAAAACCAAACCTTTTCTGCCGGAATTCCATCAAACACAAGCACATTTCCACCATAGAATATGGTGAGCTGTTCTGGCCCGGGGACAGAAGCATCTGCTCCGGATTTCGCCACAGCTGTAGCAGCCCTGCCAAAATCCCATAGACAAGTTAGTTTGAAAATCACTCACTAATTCCATGAAGTTGCTTGGTTATGATATACAAGAGATTGAATTTGTCCCAATCCTTCACTCGGCGAAGTGGCTGTGAAAAGCACCAGTAACTTCCTTAATGAAATAATTCCCCACCAGCCCTACCCACTTGAAACTTCTAGGTAAACAACTTTTCAGAAGAATACAAAATAAGCTTGTGTATACACCCAAAACCCAGTCACAAACAAAAGCCACATTTTTTCAGATTTCTGTAAAACCTTTACTTGCCCCGGACTTTCTCATGCATCACTAGACACAGAAATTACCCAGAAAGCCATAGACAAAAGAGCTACCAAGCACACGAAGGAGCAGCCATTTTGTTTGAGAGTAGGATGGTGTACCTCCCTAGCTAGATCTAGTTGTAAGAAAAATAAATCTAGCCATCAATTCTGCCCCCACAATACCATTGTTGTCGTAGAAAGGAATGGAAGGAGCAAAGACAGAGACAGCATCGAACATTTTGCCTCCCATCAAGTTCCAGAAATCCTTTCCCAGAAGCAGTACATCATTAAAAGCCCATCAAAGATCTTCATTTAAACACCACCAGGAAAAAAAAATCGCGACTCACCCAATTCCTTGCTCGATTTCGTCATTAATAAAACTAAAACAAAATTCCAGGGTTTCTTTACCCTTTCGGGGATTTCATCAGATCTTATTCTCCTTCTACAGTCAACTTCCCCAACTCTAATCACCTCCTACAACTGGTTTTTCAATTTTTGCACCCCACAAATTCCTAACCAAGTTTAGACCCAAGAAGAAAGCAAAACGTCAAATGGAAAGGGGGGAAGAAAATTGGGGAAACCTGGAGTTGCCGTCAGTGCAAGATCCCACAGCGACACCGCCGTCGTTGGTCTCCTCCTCCACGGCCACCGGTTCCTCCTTCACCGTAACCTTCTTCTTCTCAGCCGCGGAATCCGGAGGTGGAACAGCAGCAGCAGGTGGGTTCGGCTTGACTTGGTCGTCGGGCAACAGAGAATGACCAGTCTCGCTTTCCATATTACAGTTGACGGACAAAAACCTGGAATAACAATTACTGACAGAAAAGAAAAGAAATGGTTGGTTTAGTGGCCGATTTCTGTTGGATTCTTTTTTCTCTGGTGGTGGGTTGGTCTTTCTTCTTTTTGTTGCTTCGTGTGGAAGGAGGGAGGGAGAGAGAGAAATGGATGGGAGTGGAATGGAGGAGGCAGAGGAAACAGGGAAGAGAGAGGACGAGGAATAACAAGGTAAGGAAAGCTTCTTCTTGGGGCGTGGTGGTGGGGCAATTGCAAAGGTGGATGAGGGGAAATGTAGAGCCAGACAACCAACCGCACCCACAGGGCACCGACTGACGTTTGGATTGGAAGATGGAAAGCAGGAATCGCAAAGTGTCAAGTGGGGTTTGTTTTCTACTCATTATCCTTTCTCTTCTATTTCGGCACGAGGTTTATGCCCCCAATTCTTTTTGCTCACAAATTGTCTTTTGTTTTGCCACTTTGTTGAATTGTTTTTTTCCATTTATTCTTCAAAAATATGTTGAAGTTTTCTTTTGTTTCGGGGAAGTGTGTTAAAGATTCCAAGTCAAATTGAATGATCCAAATAATCATATAGAGTGGGTAAACTACTTTGGAATCAAAGTCCATAATGATCATCAAATGTGGTGGGTGCGACTAGGGGAAAACAAAAACATTGTGATTCAAGTTTGGTGGGGCAATTTCGGGAGATAGAAAAAAAACAAACTGCCATCTATCCTTCCTCGCAACGAAGGTTTTCAAGCCATGAAGTTACAATGAAAACTCCAACCTTTTTTTTTTTAACAATATGTGGATCTTTCATTCAATCCCAATCAAAAGTTACAAGCAGCAACCATCTGACATGGACTGAAATTACATCAAAAATCGTAAGCCAATCATGTGGGAGAGAACTATGAGCTTGCGATCGTACAACCCAGTCCACTCTGAAGTTAAGACGACAGGGAATCTTAGGAATTACAATCTGAGGTGTCGAAGCAATAATAAACTGCCTAGCATCCAACGTTGCAGCACATCTCCACGACCAAGAATTCGGCTTCTAAGCCACTGCTTTGACCAGGACTTCACAATCAGACCAAAGCACACACGGTCCATTAAACTCTTAAGCGATTTTCAAACCTTCTAGCATAGCCTTGACCTCAGCTTCGATCGGGGTAGAACAAAGAAAAGAGTCAGCCCGTCCATCACAATCTGTCATTGGTCTTTACTGATGACGATATCATAGGTCGCCTTCTGGGAATCATGTAAAAATGATCCATCATGGTGTATCTCTAGAGCAGGGATACTTAGCGGTGGGCAAGAATGTCGATGGTGCCCTCTGGGCTGACTCGAGTCATCATAAGAGGTGGAGAACTCCTCGAGCAACTGGTCCATGTTAAGATTACGAATCATACCTATAATGAGCAAAGCATAAACACTAAAACAAGACGATTTACGTGGTTTCCAGTATTGCAGGATGTAATACAGACTAGTCCACGGGAAGTAGGGATGACAATCAAACCCATGGCCGCGGGTACGCGACCGCCCCCGACCCAGTCAACGCGGGGAATCCCCGCTTTGACCGGGTATGGGGCGGGTATGGGTAAAACCCGCAAAAAGTTTGATGGGTATGGGGCAGTTATGGTTTTGGCCTCCCCCGCCCCATACCCATACCCGCCCCACCAAGAGAATTTCTTCACATATAAAAAAATATGTGGATTAAATTGTAATCTATTAATGGTGATGAGGAT